GAACGGCTCTGATATTCAGGACCAGTGGTGTCCAACATTTGTGTACCCCGCAGATTTTTCGCTGTCAATTTAACGCGTAGGCTTTCGCGAGCAATGTTATCCATAATAAAGTTTTTTTTCTGGGGGGGTTAGATCACGTAAAAAAATATAAATGTGTCGTAAACCCACCTTCACCCGACACAGCCAATTAGTAGTGTTTGTCACGTGAACAAAGCATGCCAATTCGTTACTGCTTCAGCACACCTGGTGTGTTGGAGAGTAAACCCACAACGTTTACTGCTTGTTGTAATCACCAGCGAAATTAAGTTAACTCAAATTGTAAACGTCGTGTGTTTACTCTCCAACACACCGGTGTGCTGAAGCAGTAACTGATTAGTACGTTTTGTTCACGTGACAAAACGTACTAATTGGCTGTGTCGGGTGGAGGTGGGTTTACGACACATTGATATATTCACGCTGTGAGCCCTCAACAACATTTTCGCGGAACACCGTTCGCATCGATACATTTTTTTTGTTTTTTCAGAATTAAAACGACTCTAAATCATCGTTTGTGTAAAACAGTTTCACGGACCACTTCCCACGACCTTACGAACCGTACAGCATCGGCCCGCGGAGCACAGGTATTTGAACCACTGATCCCAGACCGAATGATCTCTGCTTGTCCGCCTGGATGAACTCAATATTACACACCGATACCAATACCAATATCCATCCGCAGACACTGATACAATAAAAGAAATCCGCCCAACGCATTCATGTCACGTTACAACGTGCGGTATAGTCAAAATTTTTTTTTAGCAACCATTCACAAATACGAGAACTACGGCCTAAAGGGTTAACCGCTCACGACACGGGGACGACATCGATGCCGGCTACAAACGAGACACGGAGAAAGAACCACGCCAGGGGGCACGACGAAAGGGCGCGGCCGCTTCGCTCACATCGTCAATGACAAAACATCAGCGGTGTCGTTACGTGGAGTTCATGCGCGCGAGCGTCAGGCGAATTCTTTGTCCGGCGGTGGAGGGGGTGGGGAGGACTGAATGACCCTGAAAATCCCATCTTCCTGGCAAATACGACGGGGGCACTTAGGAAACTGTTGTTTGACGAGGGAGCGGGTCGCCTCTTCCGTCGGAAAAGGCCGTCGATTGTTTAGTTCCCGGGCTAATGCTCAAATGTTCGAGAGCTGTCCCGGTCTAAGTGGAATGTTTAGCGACGGCCGTCGGATGGTACGGAGGATGAACCCCTGCCTGTCAAATCGACCGGCGCTCGTGGCTGGGTGTCACCGGCAGTGATTGAGGTTTCTTGTGTGTTTGTTTTTGAACTTGAGCTACAGAGAAGACACTTCTCGGATGGCGTTTTTTTTCGGGTCGTTACCGCGTTATTCGTTCTGCGTGATGCCCGACGTTTCGCGCCGCGACCTGGGACCTTCTGCGGGAACTGAAGCGAAGCTCCCAGCGCGTGGATCGAAGCGTCGGACGATCGTGCCGAACGACACGTGTGTGTGTGTGGAGCAGCATGTGTGTAGTTACGTGTGTGTGTGTGGACCAGCATGTGTGTGAGTGGGGAGCGGTAGTGTAGCGATGAGCACGCTGCGCTACGAACCCGGCCGCCCGAGTTCGATTCCAGCTCGCGGCCAACACCGGTGACGATTATCTGAACTCGTCGTGGGCCTCCCTTAGGTCGGCTCAGCCTCAAATGAGTAACCTGGGCGTGGTGTCGGCCACCCACCCCCTCGTGTGCCGCGCTGGCCTTCATAGGTGCTTGCTAACAACACTTGCCCCTACAGTCTGTTAAGGCTATACGGGGGATCTTTGTCTTTGTATCAAGAAATGATTTTTGTTTAGCGCTCGCCAGTTCACCGCAAAGGGGATCGTGCTCATGAAACGCTATTAGCAAAACACAACGATAATGATAATAATGGTGATTATAGTAATCACTCGCAGCGTCCTCGCAAAACAAGTGAACCGTCTGAATTGAATGTATGTTGAACTTCTTTTGCGCCGTACGTTGCCAACCGTGCTATGACCCCCCCCCCCCCCCACGGCGGTGATCAGAGCTGCAAGTGAGAAATCGGGCAGCCTCCCTACTCACTCGTTGCGTACCCCGTGTGTTGGCCGTTTTCGATGGAGACTGATACATGGGTACGGTACGTATGGCTATTCCTGTCACTTGTATGTATGTTGAACGTCTTCTAATTGTACTTTGAACAGTTCAGGGGTAATCTACCCCAGGCCAACGCGCACTGCAGGATATGTATTTACCTTTAATGTTGATTTACGTTTGTGCGGTATTTAGCCATTTCTCCTGCAACTTGGGTTGTCTTTGCTCCGACTTTTCACATCCCTCATTGCTGCACTTTGTGTTATTGCTCACGAGTTCTCACCTGGTGGTGTTGGTGATCCAGGTCACTCTTGCAAATGGGACTCATCCTTTAACGGTTAATAAAAACACACGCTTGGGGTGACTTGGTTGGAACACGGTGTTCTCTTGTCATCCGTATTGAGCCTGCGCTTGTTGTTGTTTGTAGCCAGACATTTCCGCCGTAGAAATCCAATACTACAGGGAGGCCGGCCTCTTCAACCTCAGTCGCTCAACGTTCTCAGCAACTCAACGTCGCGTAAACCACGCGCAGTCGTGACTGGGCAACTCTGTGCCACGTGAACAGACTTTGTGTTCTTATTTCATAACCGTGTATTTCTCGGCCTGTGAATTCGGGGGGGGGGGGTAGTTAGGAGTGGGTATTTAATTCGTCAGCACTGCTTCGTCAGGGGTTGTATCGTTCAAATGTGCCGTACCAAGGCCAGTGTCGTGGCTTTTTAGTGTCTCAGTGTTTTCACATTTCACCTGCCCAACCCGTGCTGTGCCTGCCACATTTTGTAGAGCCACGTGTAAGCAAAAAAAAAGAAAATACCCCGATCCGCTCGCCACAAAATATTCCACGAACACCCACCGCCGAAACCAGCGCCTTCTTGACTTGCCGTGACGACCAAATTAGCAAATCGAAATTGAAAAGCTGCAAAGTGCACAAAGAAGCACGGAAGACGTGCACGCCGAGGATTGCGCCGAAGAGCACAGACAGCAAGTGGAGCGTGAGGATTAGCGACAGCGAATTGGCTGTTGTTTAAAGTGGCCTTTGGCCAGAGCCACTGCGAGTGTCAGTGGACGACGGTTGATGAAGGAGGGAAACGCGCCCCCAAGAGAACCACTGCGACGGCGAGCAGCGGGAGTTTGTGAGTTGAGGTCCTACTCGGGGTTGGAGGGGGTGGCGGGGGTTGCGAGGTGGATCGTGACCGTCGCACGATCGCGAGTTGACGTTCAACGGCGTGAGGAAGGAAGCCTCCGATCTCAGCAGTCGATAGACCACGTGTGGTTGGTGGTGGTGTGGACCTGGTGTGGTTGGTGGTTGGTGGTGGTGACCTGGCGTGGTTGGTGGTGGTGACCTGGTGTGGTTGGTGGTGGTGGTAACTTGGTGTGGTTGGTGGTGGTGGTGGTGACCTGGTGTGGTTGGTGGTGGTGGTGACCTGGTGTGGTTGGTGGTGGTCACCTGACGTGGTTGGTGGTGGTGACCTGCTGTGTGTTCCGGAGGCTGTGAAATATGGCAATCGTGTTTGGCAGCCGTTTTTCTTTTTCTTTCAAACTTGCGCACAAATGCACGGATATTTATAACAAACGAATAATTGGCGGCGACTGCAAGTCGGAGGCTGCATGCTCAGTTAATTTAAATGGAAATTCTAGGCTGGAACCGTTTAATAAGTGGCAGCCGTGCGTCCGTCTTGATGAAAGGTGTAGTAATTACTTACTGACACTGTCATTCGCACATCGCGATTCATTTGTAAGCTTGACTCTTATCGTGGCATTGTTGGATTATATAAATCCAGCACTCTGCTGAATATGAATCATACGGTAGTGGGAGTGTTTTATTTTTAAGTGTAATCATTTTTGTTAAAGTACTGTATTGGCTTTTGGGAAACGTGAAAATAAAAAAATATTTGCCACCGATATTCATTTAGCGCTGGGTCGTTGGTTGCATGGCAGGGTCGCGAGAGGGTGTTGGCAACCAAGGGGGGCATGCTTTCATCCAGCAGTGGATCGACCGTGGTTGATGATTGTTCGATGATGATGATGATGATGATACCGATTAACCCCTCGCCAAAGCGACTTTGCGAATCGCTGTATTTCAAAGGTTGCGATGCGATTCAAGATTCGATTATTTTACGCTTTCACCGCGGTGAATGTTCAGCCGCTCGTGGCCGTGGGGTTCGAAGTGATCCGGTTACACGAGAAATGAGAAATTTCGGATCTCGCTCCCGTGATTCGATGCGTCTACCGTGGGCTCGACATCCGTCGTAGCCTTACGTCCCATCGGCGACGAAGAGGATTTAGTAAGAACATCGACGCATCGATGCCATGGTTACAAATGCAGTGCTGCAGTTCAGCCGCAACCGTCATGAGCTCTGAATCCGTGAACTGTTTCGCCTTATTGTGCGAGCCCTCATTGTTAAGAGCCCCCCATTCCACCCCCCCCCCCGTTTCACACGATTGTAGGGATCGACACATGGAGCATTGACGAGGATGATCCCCTCAGGTTCTGCCAGAGCGGCCAACTTTCCCGGAATATTTCGAGCGAGAACTCAGAAGCCGTCCATAAATGACGTCACGCGATTTTGTACGATTTTGACCCCCCCCCTCGTCACACGGCATCACAAAAAGTCAGACCCCCCCTCAAATATGACGTCACAAAGCTCTGCCCCCCCCTCCCCCCCAAAACCATAAAACATGCTTCAAATCGCTTTAAACTATTGTCATTGTAGTGCGTATTTAATGTGGCGCTGCACGCTGATGTTGTAGGAGTGTTGTTATAACAATTAGTGTTGTTATAACAATTCAATATTTATTAAAAGTTGCGCATTTTGATGTGACGTCACATTTCTCAAACCCCCCCCTCCCTCGTCACACATCGTCACAAATGTCTGACCCCCCTCCCCCCCCAGGTGCGTGACGTCATTTATGGACGGCCCCTTAAGCCGCCCGCCCCTGATTGTACCCCCTCGTGTTTCTGCCTCGACCCGACCTCAGTGGGCATCTCGTCCACATGGGGACGCTCGACACAGCCATTCAGAGACCTCGTCCCGGTACGTGTGGCACCGCCGTGGGAGGGATGTTGACTACCTCGCCCGGTATGCGGGAGGTTCGTGGGTTCGATCTCGATGATTACCCCTGCTGCTGTATATTTGGAGTTTGTGTTGTCTCTCGCCCTGTGGTCGCGTGGAATTTGCTCCAGGTCCTCCGTTTTTTTCCCCTGCACGTTTAGAATCAACATCACGGGGGCTTAGAGTATCTGGCTGCTATAAATGTCCACGTGAGGGGGCCACTTTGTGGAGCGGTCATTTGTGAGAGCCCTGGTCGCTTCTGAAAAAGAGCTACAAAGCTCAGTTGGGGCCTTACCTAGCAAAACAAAAAAAACGAGTTCAGTTTAGTTGAGACTCAATCTGAAACGAGTATCTGTCTCAACATCAGGGGAGAGGAGCGTGCACGGGTAATACTGGCCACACCACCATACGCCTTCGTATGGCGTTTGCTGAGAGCACTCGTGCCTAGCATTTGCGCACAGCTAAAGTGATAACGTTTTTTTTTCAACAAAACAAATCAACGCGGTCCGTTACAACAAGGCCTCTCTCGGCATCCGTGCCACACCCACGTCTGGCCAACGTGGAAGAGTAGGCCAAAGACCACTCCTCGAGGTGCTCTCTGGAGCTCCATCTAGTGGAGGTCCCGTGCACCAGCGGTGGGTGTGAGGAATTGCACGGTTGCCCCTTGAGCTGTGAGAGAGAGAGTGCTGTATGGCACACGAGCACACAAGGGGCAGATGGGACGTCTTGGCAGCGGTCAGTCTGTGGGGGACTGGAATGAGGGATCGTGCCCCCCCCCACCTCCCTACCCCCCTTTAAATGGGAGTCACTCGTCCTCGGGGTGGATGCAGCGACGCTCGGAGTTCAACGCTAAGTGGTCGTTAATGCCACCGTATCCTGCCATCACTTCCTTCCTTCGTGCCAGATGCCACAGCAGCTACGCCATTGCAAACTGCACCTTCAAGGTCGGCTCGAGCAACAACTACAACAATCTCCCGCTTTATGGAGTTTTACATTGAGAGTGTGAGTATGTGACTGTGCGTGTGACCACCACTACCGCTACCACCACCACCCCCAATAATTGGGTAGTTCCACCCCCTTCACACCCCCCCCCCAACCCCCCCCCACACACATACCTTCTTTACTATGTCCTAGAATCACTGGTGTCTAGGCTGTGTGTTACGTGAACCAATTGCGCAGGCACTGCAGACAGGCTCAGTGGGCGTAGGAGCGTGGTTGGCATGGGTCCTGGTGCAAGGAATGAAATGTGGTCGACCCCCGTCGTGTACAATACCCCCCCCCCCCAATCCCTCCTCCCCCTCACCCCACTGATCTTCATAGCCCACCAACAAGGGTGCAGTTGCACGGCCTGCACACCCGACGATCTCCGGGCGACTCAAGCGGTGGAGAAGGTGGTGAGCTCGCGTTGCACGGTGCTGAACGTGAACAGCTCCATCTCCCCGGCGGGCCGCTCGTTCTCGTTCTCGTCGCTCGCCGCCGTCACCACGCACGGGGAGAGCGCCACGACCGCGCCGCCGCCGCCGCCGCCGGGCGGAGCCGGCGACGAGGGCATCTCGGCGGAACTCTCGCCGCCCCCCGTCTCCGGGCAGGGGCAGCAGCAGCAGCAGCAGGCGCGGGCCGCTCTCGCCAGCTCGCGGCAAAGGCCGAGCAGCAGCACGGGGCCCAGGCACGACTTGGAGAAGAGCAGGTACTGGGCGACGGTGTGCAGGACGTCGAGCGCCGGCGACTCGCCGCCCCCGACGCCGGCGTATTCCCACACCATGCTGCACACGATCTCGGGCACCAGGCAGCAGGCGTAGGCGGTAGCCAGGGCCACGACGGCGCAGTTCATCTGCCGCTCGAGGCGCAGCTGCTGCCGGGTGCTTCCGCGCGTCAGAGACGTGGCGGGGCCCGCTTCGCCCGGCGGAGGTTTGTTGTGAGCGGCGGCGCTGCGCGTGGGGGACGAGGGGAGGGAAGGAAGAATCGAGTCACGAGGAATGGTGATTTTTGTTTGCGCGTGTTTAGTTTGTTGTCCTTCCCCCGCACCTCCCGATTGGCACGGTTGGCCACGTACGGTGCGAAAGAAGTTAAACGTGCGTGCATGCATGTCACAAGAAGTGCGCCGCGAACTATTTTTTTTTTTTATTTGACCAGGTAAGAACCACTGAGCTATTTCGCTCTTTTTCAGAAGCGACCTGGCTATCACCAATGACAGCGCAGCGAAGTGGCTTATCACGTGGAAATTTACAGCTGGCAAATACTCTAGGCATCACTACTAGGGAGGCAAAGGCATGGTTATGGCCACCCACCCTCTTGTGTGCCACTGCACCACCAACACCACCCACATGCATAGGCTCGTCGTACAAGCAACTCCCAACACAGAGGGCCCATCTCAGATAGAACAAAAAAAAAACCCTCCTAGCCCTTAAACTCCTTAAGAGCTTACTCAATAAGCTGCAATCCTCGCCAGCCGGCGCCCGTGATATTTGACACAGTTTGTCTTGTCCTGCACAGCTTTCTTTGGCAGCCGATGGGCTCTCTTGTGGCCCTTGTTCAGGAGGCTCTGTAGAATGTTTGCCATCCCTCGCTAGCGGCGGAAGAGACAACGCAGCCTTGATTAATTTTCCACTGGCTCACTCGATCACCGCTTCTAACCGAGAGTCGTAACCAAGGACGTTTTTTTTCTTCTTCTCCTCTCAATCGATATGTTGATGGAACTCTATCTACTTGGGCCGGCTTGGAGGCGTACAAATTATTTGGCGTAAGGCACTACCACTAGACGGCAATTCTAAGTCTGTGTACCCTATATTCCTATAATCCTATGCGTGCATAGGTGTATAATATAATAATTTTAATTTATAAAGCGCCCTTAAACAATCGTTATCAGGGCGCTGAGAACGATTGTATACAATTTATATATAAATTAGATCCTAGGAGTCAACATAGTTGGATATCAAATCTCGACATCAATTTGCAATCTGTTGCAATTCCCAAAAATGTCATACGAAAGAAGAAGAAGAAGACCGTTGTTGTCATTGTCATGAGGACAGAGGCGACTTCATACGTGCCGTGGACAAAATCAATAATGCTCGGAAAAAAGCGTTCCTGACTGTGTCGACTGTAATTAAGCAACTGGTCATTACACATTTGTCATTTCCGCCCAGGTACTGGGCGCCGCGGTGGCTAGGAGATGTTAACTACCTCGCCTGGTATACAGGAGGTCGTGGGTTCCATCCCGACCCTGACGCGTGCTGCTGTATATTTGGAGTCTGCGTGTCTCTCTCCCTGTGGTCGTGTGGATTTTTCTCCCGAATCCCCCGCTTTTTCCCTCCACGTTTAGAAACGTGCGTTTAGAGTATTTGGCTGCTTGACATTTGCACGTAATAAGCCACTTCGTTAAGCTATTATTTGTGGCCAGGTCGCTTCTGAAAAACGGCTGCATAGCTCAGGTGGCCTTACCTGGTAAAATTATAAATATATATATCGATTAGTTTACTGTACATTAAAATCAGATAATTAATTTCAGCCGGGTCTGTTTGGGTCGGTGACCTGCGAATTATTTCCCCTGTCCGGCAGCACACCAAGTCCAGTATCCCTCTCGCTATGGCTGTGGATTTACCAATTCGGTGACATCCAGTCCAGGGCTATCAGCGACCCACAATATCCTCTGCATATTCTACTCGGTGTTGTTAAACTGACCCAGAATGTATTCGATGATAGCTGAAGCCCTCCCTCCCTGTATGTTTTACTCACCCCTTGAGAGCTGCGTCGATTCCGTGGCAGTTGTGCTCAGACTGTCAAGAAACCCATGAATATTGAGCGCTTTGTGGACCGTACAGCATTCTCGCATCTATGATGAAGGGCGCCTTGTCAAATGGAAATCGAGTATAATTGTGGTCTAGTCATTGAGATGTTATTCCGCTGACGGGTATAACACACGCAGCAACGAGACGATACGTGCCGCTCTTTACTGTTAACGCAATGGATGAGTGCGTACATTTTATTTTGACGCGTGATTTACATTTGTTGGATTTTAACTATCAACTCTTTTTATTTCAAATCTAAATAATGTTTTACCATGTCATTCTATTTCGGAATGTAATCGCGACGGTAACCTTCGCGGTTCGATAAATTTTCGCCATACAGGGGCGCCATCACATCGATTAGAATAATCGATAATTATTTTTTCTTTGGAACGTTGTGTAATTGTAGCGGCCTCTCGTGGCTGGTGATGGGGGGACGGGGGCGTCACGCGAACCCAATGGCGTAGTTGCTACATTATCGACTCTGGGGGGGGGGGGGGGGCAATCGGAAATGTTTTCAACAACACCGTTGTTGAAAACATTTCTCACGGTGATTGTCAAGGGGGCCCCAACTCGAAGCTTTGGCCACCAGTATGGGCCAAGGCACCCCCTGGCTGCCCCACGCCAGGTACGCTACTGCGTGAACCCGTAGCATAATTTAATTAACAGATCGATAATACCATTGGAACCTCCTTTGCCAGTAGCAAAATATGATAATTGGTTTTTTACCCTTTTATCTGGCAACAAAACTGACACCTTTTTTTTATTTACAAGGAGTCATGTTTGCATTGACCACAATACCTGCGGTCGAAATGCAAACAAAAAACACAACTCTGACAATGTATGCACTGTCCTTGAAATTGATTGGTGCACACCGGAGACAGCTTTTCTTAGAGCCTAGTCTCACATGGTGTTGGACCAGATGACGCCAAAAGGCGCACAACTCAAAGACAATGCACCATCAGAGTATGAGAATTCGGGGTGAGCATTTACACCATTGGAACCTCCTTTTCCAGTAGCAAAATATGATAATTGTTTTTTTACCCTTTTATCTGGCAACAAAACTGACACCTTTTTTTACAAGGAGTCATGTTTGAATTGATCACAATACTGGGGTGGGTGATGTTAATCACTGTATGATGATGATGGTGGTGGTGTTCTAGAAGGGTAAAGGGTAGGCCCGGTAAGTCCTCCCTTCCCATGGAATGGCCTTGCTGCCTTGGCCAGGTCTCAATCCAAAGAGAGATTTGTTTTTTTACATTCAAAGGGCCTTTACCTGAAATCAACTCAGGCACTTGTTGTACAGAGTGGGGTCCATTGCCCAGGTATTGAACAAAACGCATGCAACCCAAAATATTTCATATTCCAGGGCAAACTTTGTTTTCGTTCAAATCTAGGTCTGTGAAGGTTTATACCCGGAGTGTTTGAATGGCACTGAGTCTAAGCATTTGCTAACTTTTAAAAAGCAAATGCGGATATTTGTGTGAATATTTCTTTTGATTGCCCTCGGCTACAGACAGTTGTGTCTGGATATTTCGAAGAACGGTACCTACAGTCGCGCCCTGAGAACTATTGTTTAAGGGTGCTTTGTACATTTAAATTATTATTACTACTACTACAGTATACAGAGTAACACCCTTTTGCCAATCCACTGTTGGCTAAAGGCCTCCCAACTCCAACCATACTTCCCCACGCTGCTCAGTGCGGGTTGGCATAAGACATAAACGCGGGTGCACAGGCGCACAGGACAATGATGGTGGACATTTTTCTGAACTGCTCTCTGCTGTGCAAGACTAAATTATGGAAGACTTAATTTGTTCGTAAACTCTTACAGTGAGTGTGACGCTAAAGCCGAGAGAAGGGATGGCTAAGCCTACTAACTGGGCAAGGGGCGGGGTGTCGTTGCTAGTTACGACATATGCACGTGTGCTCGATTCACCGGGCTCTTTCCACGCTTCTTAATTTCATTTACTCCATAACAACAGATGGGCCGCTGTTGATTTCGAGAAGCTGTTGTTGGCGGTCGACCCCATGGGGGCAATCAGAGCGACGGAGTCCGAGAGCGCTGTCATCCAGACGGATTGAAAGCTTCCCAGCTGTTGATCCCAGGGTCGGGGGCTGAGGCGTCGTTAAAATCCCCTGCTCTTAAATAATCGGAGCACACGGAGGTGCCGCGGAGATCGAGCGGGAATTCAGAGCGATCACGGTCGTGAAGGAATCGCGATTACCGGCCCCAACGAGCATTGCGGTGTTGGTGATCGCCGCCTGTCGATAACCGACTCTGAGTAAAGTGGTTGCTGCTATTCCACATTCCTATGGCGAGGGAGAGTCTATCCATAGTACAGTCACTGTTGACCTTGTCACGATGTATTTTGTCCACACACAACCATCTCGTCTTATTTTGTCGCCAATGAGAAACAACGGTGAGTCCATGAATTGTTGTATAAACCTGTTCATATGATTATACGAATATAGGCAATGTACAGTATAATAATGGAGGGTTTTCACGCATAGGTGAGCTTTGTGCTCTAAGTGGTAGTGCCTTACGCCAATAATTTCTACTCCGAGCTAGCCTTTGCAGCATCCCTGGAAAAATATCCTGCGATAAATTAAGCCCCGTCGTGTAAGACTGAAATCTGCGTTTCTGTGATTGTGCTATGAAGTACTGTAAGGCCATTGCCCGAAACGTCGTCCATTGTTTATCATTTTCCTTTGAAGGTCACACATTGTTATTGATTAAACGGTTGAGTCGTTGCTGTGTGAAATAGCGCTCGAGTGATGTGTTTACATTTTTCTTTGCGTCTGTTAGAGTCGAGTGCGCATCCATTTCAATTGCAGCCCTGTTCCCGTTAACCAAATAATAAACACACCCAACATTTAAAAAAGGAAGAATTTTCCAGAGTTTAGTTGAAATAAGGTTAAACAAAAATTAGACTCTCTGCTTGTTTCATGGCGTACGGATATTTCTGAAAGAATGCGGATTTTCTTTTTACCGCGTAAAAAGGCTGAGCACCATATGGTGTTTAGTGGAAACATGGGTCAACATGTGAGTGGGTTGGTGCATCTGCCAGTCATCTCAGTCAGTCAACCTATGGGAACCTGGGGTCTGTCCCCTTGAACTCCTGCCAGCGGGCTTTCGACACTTCACGTGGCCTCAAAGTGCACCTGGCCTGGCACAGTCGCCGTGGCGACGTCACCGCTGCTTAGTGGCGAACGGCGGTTGTTTTGTTGTTGTTGTGGGTGTGTTGTGGGTGATTTCAACTCACGACCGATATAACGGCGACGAATATTTGAACCGGTCATTGGTCTCCCCCTAGGTCGACTCAGTCTTAAAATGAGTACCCAGCAATGGGAAGACAAAGGCGACAAGGCATGGTGCTGGCCACCCACTCCCCCGTGCGCCGTGCCCGCCTTAAGTGCTCGCCAACAGCACTTGCCCCAACAGTCTGTTAAAGGCTCTATGGGGGATCATTGCCTTTGTGCGTTGATGTGGATTCTACGTGTCTTATCAGTGCGTGCAATTGTATACGTGTGTGTATGCGCGTGCGTGCGTGCATGCATACGTGTGCCTTGCTGGCCTTAAGTGCTCGCCAACAGCACTTGCCCCAACAGATCCGAGTGACTGCGCGCGTGGACGATTGAGCTCGGTGTGAATTCAAAGAAGCTCACGGCGCACGCTCGGCATCTCTCTACAGAACATCACAACGCCATCAGCTGCTTCCAATCTCAACCCCGTCCCGAGACTCCCCCCCACCCTTCCTCCAACCCCCTCCCCACCAACACAAAAGCGAGCCCCTGGGGGAGATGGGGGAGGGAAAGGGGTCCTAAAAAACCGGAGAACATCATCCCAACCGAGAGCACCCCCCCCCCCCCACCACCGTAAACCCGCGTGTGCGTCAAGCAACGAAACCCCGAGTTCAATACCCGGCTCCCTTCATCCGGCGCGCGGTCAGGACGGAGCAGGTGACGGTGAAGGCGATGGGCAGGCAGAAGTAGCAGCCGAAGAACCACCACGGGCGCGCGGCGCGGTACGTGGCCGAGAGCATGTACAGGAAGTCCGGCAGCTCGTGCGGAACTCGCATCTCGCAGCGGTCGTACGGCAGCGAGGAGCCGGTGGGAGCACCTCCGGCCACCGCCACCCCCTGCTGCTGGGTGTTCTGGTGGCCCTGGTAGTGGTGGTGGTGGTTGTTGTTGTTGTTGCTGTTCACGCCGTCCTTGCCCGCCAGGCCGTGGATGAGCAGCTCGGGTGTGGAGAGCACGAGGGCGCCCAGCCACACCACGGCGAGTTTGCCTCCACGCGAGATGCAGCCCTCCGTCTGCTCGTAGTGCAGGCGCACATTGGTGGCGGCGTGGAAGCGGTCGAGGCAGAGGGCGGCGAGCGTGAACGTGGTGATGCCCAGGCTGGCCACCTGTTTGCGTGGGTATATGGGGTGGGTATGGGTGAAGGTGGGTGGGTGAGCAGGTGGAGGACGCTACTGGTCAATTGGGGGCACCTCCGAATATCACGGTTGGCTACGTACGGCGCAAAAAATAAGTTCAACGTACATGCATACAAGAACGGAGGCGCAGAGGGAGCGACGCTCACAACAACGAGCGGAGCGCCGGGCGGATAAAATTACGTCTGGGTGGGGGGGGGGTACAGATGGTGCATCAGCCAGTCATCTCAGTCGATCAACCCCATTGCATCTGGCTCTGTCCCGTGACCTCCTGCCAGCAGCGAGCCTTCAACACTCCACGTGATCGCCTCAAAGTGCATCCGGCCTGGCACAGGGCCGTCGCTTCGTGGCGAATGGCGAATATTGGTTGGTATTGGTATTGTGGGTGTGTGGGGTGCGGTTTGAGATGATTGGCATGGCAGCTTTACGCACGTGGGAAGCGTTTTCCCATCATCAGGCGCGTGCAGCGTCCAGTAACGGGCGTTATTTGATATTTGAAAGGAGGTTGTTTAGTTTGTGTACTCGCAAAGACAAATGCGTTGTGGGTGGGTCGCGAGGATTGAAGGACGGGGGAATCCAATCTCAATCATTTGCAGTTTGCAGCTCTGACAATCCACTGCCCCCCCTCCGCCCATGCCCTGTCGGTCATGGGGGGAGGTGGGGGGGGGGGGTTATTTCACCATACTTCACCGCGCTGGTCAGTACGGTGTTGGTGAAGGGGATGCCCCGGACCCGGTTCAGATTTAATTCACCACTGATTGTTAGCCGTGGCCGGTCTGTGTGTATGTGTGTATACATCGACCTGGGTTTGATTCTCGCTCATGGCCAACACCAGTGACGATTATCCTGGGCCTCCCCTAGGTCAATTCAGCCTGAAATGAGTACCTGGTAGGGTGTGTAAACATCGCCACTAGGGAGACAAAGGCGGCCGGGCGTGGTGCTGGCCACCCACCCCTTCCGTGTGCCGTGCCGTCCTTAATAGGTGCTCGCTAACAGTTTGTGAAGGCTATAGGGGTATCTTTGTCTTCTGTATATATATGGGCAAGTCCTGTTAGTCTGTAATGAATTCCGGCTGTACTGTGGGATCTTCCTATGTGGGGAGGGAGGAATGCAATTCAAAGGTAACAGAATCACACGATCAATTGCAGGCAAATTAGACGCGGCCTTTAATGCGTGGGCAGCCACCGCTGGGTAAGACCACCCTGAAACATCAAAAACATCCCGAATGATGCTCACGTTGAATATTGTGACGATTTCGGTTCCGCGACCCACGTTGTGATTCCGTTACCGTTGTAATTCTTTGATTCCTATCATTCATATTACGCTTGTTTACCCAGGAAAGCTCGCCGAGTCTCATGCCCCTTTTTCAGGAGGGCCCGTGCCAAGCTTTTCGCAGCCGTGGGGCGATTCCAATCGCGTCATTTGCGGTGTCATTTATTTTTGCTTCTCTCCAAAATTGGGCAAGTCGGAACCCACGATCATGTGTGTGCGTGTACTTGTATTGTGCACGCACACACATGGCACAGACATCACGCCAGACTGTTGGTGCACAAGTGCTGTTAGCGAACAGCAATGAAGGCTGACGTGGAACACGAGGGCGTGGGTGGCCAGCAACCACGCCCGGACACAAACAAACAACAACAACAACAACCGCCGTTCGCCACTAAGTGGCGGTGACGGCGCTCGTGCCAGGCTATGCGCACGTTAAGGCCACGTGAAGTGTCGAACGCCCGCCGGCAGGATGTCACGGGACTGACTCAGATGCCATGGGTTGACTGAGATGACTGGCCGATGCACAATCTGTGCCGCCTACTTTGCCAGCATAACACACACACACACGTGCAAGTAGTCCCTATCTATATATTGAATACACGCATGTTTATTGCGGGGAAGCCTTCATCCAGCAGTAGATTAACAAAGAGATTAATCATGTTTACTAACTACTAATAAAGGTGCGGGTCGTCCATCGGGAATTGCGGGGCTTACGGATCAATAATTGTAATCGCTTTAAGTATAGCCGGCAACCCTAGATCCGGTTTCGGCTCCCTTGGTCTCATCAGTAGCGCATAGTCCTGGTATCACAGGCGTGGGCCACGGCGCCTACAGCATTCATGCATTTCGATTTAAAGCTTTCGTGACTGCAGGGATTCATCTTCTTGGTTCTTTCGGTAAAGTCACGTAGAAGGGAAGTAATAAAATAATAAAAATAAAACATAATAAAATAATTCTCACGACGTTTCGGCCACAACACAAGCAGCCGTCCTCAGGTGAAGACCAGGTCTGTCGGGGAGACAGCGTCTCAATGAAACACCACCACGCTTGGAGCGTATATTATTATATTATTAAATGAAACACCACCACGCTTGGAGCGTATATTAATATTATAATAATATACGCTCCAAGCGTGGTGGTGTTTCATTGAGACGCTGTCTCCCCGACAGACCTGGTCTTCACCTGAGGACGGCTGCTTGTGTTGTGGCCGAAACGTCGTGAGAATTATTTTATTATGTTTTATTTTTATTATTTTATTACTTCCCTTCTACGTGACTTTACCGAAAGAACCAAGAAGAAGAGCATTCATGCACCTACAGATCTCGTGTGTCCATCTGCGCGCGTGCGCGTGTCTCAGTTCCGTCAATCACATCGCTTGCTTGAATCATTTAGGTCGTAACACAATCGAGTAAAGATCCATTCTGACCGGAATGATCAAGGGACCTGTGTGCTGTTGACGATGAGCTATGCACAACCACGTTTGATCTATGCCAACAAAACCAAAATTTCGTTGAGCGTGCGTGCTTGCCTCCACATAGAGGCACTGCACGGGATATTACCCAGCACCTACCTAACGCTGCACTTTGCCCGAACCCGCCTGTGTAGGCTCTCGGGGGGATCTTCGCTTTTTTTTGTCTTTCCGCACGAACAGTATTTAAGCACAATACAGTTTATGTGCACGACGAATTCTGCCCCGGTGTGATCGGTTAGCGCACTCGAATCAGCACGTTTGGCTACGCGCAGTGCGAAAGAAGTTCAACACAATACATACATCTTCTTGGTTCTTTCGGTAAAGTCACGTAGAAGGGAAGTAATAAAATGATAAAAATAAAACATAATGAAATAATATAATAATATATTTTCATTATTTTATTACTTCCCTTCTACGTGACTTTACCGAAAGAACCAAGAAGATGAATCCCTACAGTCACGAAAGCTTTAAATCGAAACAATACATACAATTACAACCCAGAGGTCGCCGGTTCGATTCAATCTCCCGGTGCGCTATTTTAAACAATGGAGGAAGTCTATGCAATCTCTCCGCGTCTGTCCACGCTATATATAAACACACACACATGAATGGGTCCACCACAGTACTGTCGCTCGGTAGGTCACGTGTGATTGGGGTGAAGCGTGGGCAACTCCCACCTCTTCCACGCGTGGAAGAATCAATGAGTAGAGCAAAACAAATCCCCCTTCGACAGCAGTGATGTGAGCGACCACATTGCAGGCTTGCGCCTTTACCCCCCTTTCGTTGTCGCGCGTGCATTCGTGCACACGCGTTCAGGTGAGTCGCGAGCCTCACCTCGAGGTACGGCACCAGCTTGCACGTGAAGTCGCCCAGCACCCAGCGCTTGGACAGCTCGTGAACGGCCGTGAGCGGCAGGCACACGAAGATGACCAGGAAATCCCAGAAGGCCATGTTGGCCAGCAGCGAGTTGGAGACGTTCTTCATGTAGCGGTTGTTGCACACCACGCAGATGACGGTGAGGTTGCTGGCGAGGCCCACGGCGAAGAGGAACAGCGAGAACGCGAGGATCGCGTAGGCGCCGTACGTCTCGCTCGTCACCGGCTTGAATGGATTCCTCGCCCGCGGGATTCTCTCCACGCGCCCGCTTGCGCTCTTCGACTTCGGGGTGATGACCTTTGGCGAGTGGTCACTCGCTTCTGTGATGTTATCCGACGATGATGATGATGAAGAGGACGACTGTCCGGGTGACGAGAGGTCAACCTCGGTGTCCACCTCCGTCCCGTTATCAGCGAGCGCCGGACGTGGCGAGTGCGGGATTGAGGTTGCGTCCGTCTGCTCCGCCTGGGCGTTCACGTCTTCCGCCGCCGTTGTGGCTGCTGCTGCTGATGGTGGTGGTGGTGACGGTGGTGCTGCTGGTGGTGTTGGTGAGCGAGCATTCTCGGCGTTGACCGTCTTCCCCGCCGCCTGTCGTTTGCGTCGAACCTCGAAAGCCCTCGCCGGGACAAACGGAGGCACGGCCGACGGCAGATTCCTGAACGTGCCACCACCGCCACCACCACCTCCTCTTCTTCCTCCATCCTCGTCAAAGGTGCTCGCCTCCTCCCCTCGTGTCGCTTCTCTTCCTCTAACAACACCACCACCGTCGTCGTCGTTGCCGCCACCACCACCATGACCAACAACAACAACATCATCTTCATCAACGTCGCTGCCATAAAGAGCGTGGGCTTCGAGCAGCGACTCTTTGTGTGCTGGAGGCCGCGCGTCGTCTCGCAGAGGGGCCGCGCCTTCTCCCAGCGCCGTCGGGAAAGCGGCGAGCGCTCCTGCAGCAACCCCCAGCACGGCCCAGATCATCATCATCGTGGTCGTCGTCGTCGTCGTAATCATCATCGCCGCCGCGGTGCGACCCTGCAAGCGCCAGGGTAAGGCGACTCGGAGCCCGCTCCGATCATCGCAGGAGATGTTGATGTCAACACGCCGCTGCTGCTGCTACCGCTGCTGCCGCTACAGGCTGATGCCGTGGAGCGGTTATTTATTTACCGCGCGTCGTCTGTTTCAACGAAATAAAATAATGCGTGATGTTGTTTTGTGAATATGTTCTCCCTTTTTTGTTGGTTTCGTGCAGTCCTCCCGCCCGGTCGTTTCGTGCAACGGTGGCGTCGTGAGCGCGCTCACGGAGTGCGCGTCGGAGAATCGTTGAGTCCGCGTCCTTTTGAAGAAGAGAGGCGTGCGCTTGCCTGCTCGATACCCCCCCTATCCTCCCCCCCCCTATCCTCCCCACCTCCCCACCTCCCCCTATCCCTCGTCCCCCTTCTCTCTGTGTCTCCTCCTTTGCCTAGACAATTACAAAGATCCCCCGTGTAGCCTTCACAGGCTGTTGGTGCAAGTGCTGTTAGCGAGCAGCACCTTTGGAGGCCCGGACGGTACACGAGGGGGGGGGGGGGTGGCCAGAACCACGCCCGACCGCCTTTGTCTCCCCAGTAGCGATGTTTACTACACACCGCACCGGGTACGCATTTGAGGCTGAGTCAACCGAGGGGAGGATAATCGTCACCGGTGTTGGCCGTGAGCGGGAATCGAACCCGGGTGGTCGGGTTTCGTGGCGCAGTGCTCTGGCCACTACGCCACCGCTCCCCGACGCGCACACAATGGCGAACCCAGTCCACGCACAGATGTCTCTACGCTTACTCCCCCATCAGGGCTTGCGGGAGATTGTGGTGGCGGTGGTGGTGATCGTGATGGTGGGGGTTGATGGAGGGCGTCAGGGGAGGAGGAGGAGAGGGTGTAAGGGGTGGTGGTGGGGGGGTAATGGGGAGGAAGGGAGGATGAGGAGGAGGAGGGATGAGTGTGCTGGGGTAGGGTTGGGAGCAGGAGGAGGTGGATTGAATATGGGGGAAATGTTGGGGGAGGGGGGGGGGTGTAAGCGCGTGTTGTTGGAAGCAGCCAATGAACACGCGATGGTGAAATCACGGTCGCTTGAGCCGTGCATGGTAGGATCTGCGTTTGGTGGTGATGGTCCTGCGCTTGAAGAGAGCTGACAGCCGACTTATTGCTCCGCCCGGGAAAGAGTCTACCTGTCCGTCCGTGTGTTCATCTGAAAGCACCACCACCACACGGTAGCAGATCACCAGGCACCGATGCTAAACTCACCACCACGACGCAGAAGCAGCAACAGCAGCAGCTCACCAGCCCAAATGTCCAACGTTCACGCCCGCGTCTCGTTCCTCCCACATGGATACCGTGTCAACCCATACGGTTTAGGGGCCGTCCATAAATGACGTCACGCACCTAGGGGGGGGGGTGTCAGACATTTGTGACGATGTGTGACGAGGGGGGGGGGTGAGAAATGTGACGTCACATCAAAATGTGCAACTTTAAATAAATATAGACAACACGTTCTACTTAATTAAATAGACGTTTGAATAAATGTTTTCTCCTACAACATCAGAGTGCAGCGCCACATTAAATACGCACTACAATGACACTAGTTTAAAGCGATTTGAAGCATGTTTTTTTGAGGGGGGGGGGGGGGGCAGAGCTTTGTGACGTCATATTTGAGGGGGGGGGGTCAAAATACGTTGCAGTCATTTTTTATTTTTGATAAAGTTCTAGATTGGCAAAGGGCTGCATATTGTACATCATTATTATTATTGTTGTATTTAATAATGTTAATAATTGCCAAAGCTTGTATACATCGTGTAAGTAATGGGTTTAGGTGACGTATATATAAGTTCACCACAGTGTTAAATAAGGAAGAAAATGCATGCACACGAATGGATTTTGCAACGGTAAGTACAGGTTTTTGATTGGCCTTAACACATACGCACATACATAATATTTTATACCTACGTGATTTTACCGAAAGAACCAAAGAGTATGGATTCCTGTAGTCACGAAAGCTTCAAATCTAGATTCAAATCAAGATTGGCCTTACGTTGCATTGTTGAATGACGTCACATGGTACATGGCGTGTGACGTCATTGCCTTGGCAGAAAAGGCTTAAGCCATTATCGCCGTGGGCTTTATTTTTTATCGCCATATTTTGGGTAACCCTTGACTCAATGTGCCCGGGTTTCTGCAGGGCAGAAACGCCACAATAGCAACGCGGCTTTTCGCGTGTCTCTGGCCTCAGAGACACGCAGACGGACCGACAGAGTTCATGCATTCACGATTTCAACCGCAATGGGAACAGGCGTCAATTATTGAATCGAAACACATTCTCACAATCGCGAACAATTATAATTTCGCCAAGAGAGGCGAATTCTCACGCGCCATTTGCAGAGTATACACAGCAAGGCTGCATATCAAACATATACAGAAGGCAAATTCATCTGTACCTTCCAAAGGCAAAGATGCCCCGGATAGCCCTTGACAAACTTTTGGGGCAAGTACTGTTAACGAGCACGGACGAAGACCGTTACGGCGCACGAGGGATGAGGTGTACAATCCCCACGTCCGGCCGCCTTTGTCTCCCCAGTGCTGATGTTTACACACCACACCAGGTACTCATTTGAGGCTGCGTCGACCTAGATGAGGCCCAAGACCGGTTTTAGATATTCGTCACCGATGTTTGCCGCGAGCGTGAATCCGAACTCGATTCGCCTGGGTTCACAGCGCAGCGCGCTAACCGCTGCACCGCCGCTCCCCGCTCACTCACGCAATCCACTTCACACATCCACCCACACATCCACCCACACACAAAGGCATTCTTCGCAGTGGCGGTGACGCTTCTGTTGCTTCCCCGCGCCGTCAAGCAGAGAGCCACGAACACGCACACACAGAGACTCGAATCGCATCGTGTGCCCTGAACAAGATGTTGCGTAATTGCTCTATAAATAGAGCCACCCTCCCTAAACGTTACACGCGCACAAGGACCAATCGATATCTACGGTGCAGCGCGCATTCGACTGTCGTGGCGAGTGCCGTGAGCGAGCACACATGAAGTCAGATGTTCGAGGGCGGTTGATGCTGACAGAACCACGCCCGCACGCCAGCCCGCCCGCCTTTGTCTGCCCGTTGTTGACGGTTCACAACACCGAAACAGACACTCATTATCACGTCGGTAAAGCCCAAGGAGGATCCACAGCCCAAGACCGTCAACTTAAGGTTGAGTCGACCTACGTGAAGACCATAACAGGGTCAGATGCCACTTGCAGTGCGTCACGAACTCGGCCTGTGTTCGGAGCGCCACTGTGGCGAGATGTTAACTACCTCTCCTGGTATGCAGGATGTCGTGGGTTCGATCCAGACCCTGACACCTGCTGTACATTTTAAGTTTGCGTGTCTCTCTCCCCGTGGTCGCGTGGATTTTTCTCCGGGTCCTCCGGTTTTCCCCTCCACATTGGGGAACATGCGTTTAGATGACTTGGCTGATAAGCCACTTCGTTGAGCTATCATTTGTGGCCAGGTCGCTTCTAGAAAAGGGATATTATAGCTCAGTAGGCCTTACCTTCTATAATAAAAAATAGTTTCGTTTAGGATTCCTGGTCATGCGCGACAATTCGATTCTACACCTTTCCTGGGTCTTGACAAGGTGGAGTCGGCCTCAAATGCGTTCATGGGCCCACTGTCAAAATGTTTTGACATTTGTTATCTCGTAATTCACATTTGCTGCCCTCACGAAGCCGACAAGTGCGCACGGAAGCGCGGAGAGAGATGGGCGCTTGGAATTTCACCGAGAGACGGCGAGTGGAACACGCGGATTAGAGGACGCACCGCAGGTCGGAGGCATTGAACGTGAAGACAAAATAAGCCGGTTTAGGCAGCAGACGTCGCGAGAAGAGACGTTGGCCACACGCTACACGCACCTGATGATTGCTATACACGTCCTTACGTGACGTTTAGCAATCATCAGGCTAGTGCAGCGCGCAACGACCTAATTTGTATTTGGCCTCTCATTTGGCCTTTCTGTGTGCTGTGAAGAATGGCCATTACCCAAAACCCCTAAATGTCACATAGTATACACTATGCTATTTGTTTTAAGGCAGGAGTTGTTCACGAACATATTTCGTTTTTGTTGTTGTAAGTTTTATGGGAACGGCGAGGAATGGCAAACACGAACGTGTGAGTTGGGAAAACTCCGTCGTTCCGAGTTGTTCCGAGTCTGTAGTCATGTAACCATCGGCAGTCATCTATCACGCGAACTCCGATCATCCTCGCAGCACCAGCTTTTGGTTCGCCATCGAATAAAGACGGTCACCGCATCGCCAGATTTCAGATGCGCTTCTGCGGCCGTCTGAAACGCTCTTCCTTCCGATTTTAGGAAGCCACTGGAGCAATGCACTTTTAAATCATCCAGTTTGAAAACTCGTTTCTTTAAAACTCTTGTTTGTGTGTTAGTTTGTTGTCCTTCCCCCGCACTTCTGATTCGCACGGTTGGCTACGTGCGATGCGAAACATGTTCATTCCAACCTTTGGTGAAGGCTGAGTTAGCGCATTGTCTGATCCAGGCTGGTCTGGCAATTACGGCACTTTATTCTTGTTAACAACAATATAAATGAGTGGCACTAATGAGAGAGAACGAGCACTCCTAATGAAGTTACGCCAAGCCTCTTTAATTATTCTCTATGATGCCATTCAATAGCGGAGGTGACCTGGGAACTCTTTCCGCACCACCCTTCCCCCACGGCTCACGTCCTAACCAGACTCGAGGGGGCTGATGGGTGGCCGGTGAGTCGGTGCCTTGTGAAAGCGGCCCTGTCCCAGCAAATTGCGGTAATGACGATAACCATGGTGGTGATTATGAACTTATAATGATGCTCCTGTGTTGGTGTTGTGCTGCTGTTCAGCTCTCAGATGTGTTTGCGTGGTTGTTACCGCGTGTTTACTCGGCACGATATCCGACGTTTTGGCTCCACGTGCTGGCCAGACAGACGATTGATTATGATGATGAATTTCTGACGGTGCATTGGAATATTATTACATATGATGAATTATGATAATGAAAAATTATGACAAGCATGATGGTTTATTTAATAATGATGATCATTCTTTATTTGATTGATAAATTATGATTGATGGATGATAATGATGACGCATTATTGATGATAACGATGACTAATGACAGTTGATTGGATGATGACGAATGGTAATTGAATGAGCTGAATGATTGGTGATTTAATGATGATGACGACGATGATGATGATACATCGTTGACAATTTGTATGCAGTAACGGAGACAATCATTGATGATCGATTAACGATATTGGACGGATGATGAAT